ATTCAATAATCAAATAAAAAATTATAATTTTTTTTTACGTAATGTCACAACTAGATCTCAATTTAGATCTAGATTTATCTTACTAGTTTATAAATATATTTATTATATGTTTGAGGCAAATCTCTATCTAATTGTTGAAGCAAATCACCCTTTATTGTAAACCAAACTATATTAATTACTATATAAAATATTAAAGCAGGGAGATAAGAAATACAGAGCCTATATGATTTGGCAGGAACCGCTGGCTCCACCACTTTAAACGAATCTTAAGAAATTTGCCAGATCACTGATCCAGAACAACTGGAGTAACTGGAAACGCGCCACCAGGATAATTAGCTCCAAACTAGCAACTAAATAGAAAAACCAGTGGTTCAGAAGATTATCATTAGCGTCTTGGGTACTGTCATTGACTCCGATATAGAAAACAAGGTTTGGAACGTGGCACTGCCAATGGTACAGGGCAGTCTCAAATAATCAATTAGATATGAACATGAAGCTCACATTGAGCATGAATACAACGACAATCGATTTTTTTTTACATAAGACAATTCTTTTAGTTTATGTACAGAATGGACATTGGTCCATTCTTTGTTTACAAAAAATCCCATTGCCAATAAACCTTCTCTACAATCCCTCCACCACTCCGCACAGCAAGACGGAGTGTTTCGGAAGCAGGTGGAACCCCCCAAAGATATGGCACTGCCACCGTCATTGTTAGCTTTTCGTGCAATCCACCTTTGATGGCCTTCTCTGCTGTCACAACCTGAAAAGTGAAGATTCATGTGCATTTTCAGATATAGCCAATCCACACATACAAACTCCAGGGATAGGAATCCTATTAAATTATGGCTATACAAATAAAAGCAAGGCAACAAAGATGTCAGACAAATAAAAAATTAAAAGATAGTCCTTTGCAGAGGTAGATATGACCGGAATTTTAAAAAGAAGGGAGTTTGTCAAACCATGATTGAGAATAGTTCCCGTTCAGCTAAACACTAGCCCTATGTGTATCTGAAATAGATTGATAAGTATTAAAGGATGACTATGCTGCTTAGGGAATACACAAAAACACTTCTCCTATATTGAATTAGATCCCCATTACCTGTTGCATCATCC